AATGATTAAACTCAATTATCTCAAAATAAAATTTATGTAAAAAAGGGCTGTTTTAATAGATAACACCCCATATGATTCCAGAGTGTATAATAGAAAGACATGAATATATATATCTATTGTTTTGCAGCAAAAGAACATAATGCTTAGCTTGTAATAAATTCACAACATTAACTGCCCATATATCTGTAATGTTATAGTATCCAACAAATTTAATCATCTGGTTTAAAGTTGTTTGTAGAAGATTAATGGTTAACGATTCATTAAACAGTGCATTCTCATATTCCTATTATTGTAAGCTTAACTATTAAGTTATATACAACCTGAAATATACAACCTGAAATACATATTTTGAAATACATAATATGAAAAATACAACTTGAAATATAGAATTCATTATTCATTTACTTCAATTAAGTTATCAACTTCATTCTGATTAACATAAGTTGTCGTATAGTATAATGATTAATTAATTTCGTCCCGATGCATTTTTAACATCATAGGACCAAGAAATCATTGTAAACACTTGTCAACTTTGAAAAACAGAAAATTTACTTTTTCTTGATTTTTAACAGATGGAATTGATAATCGCCAAAATCTGTATTTATTTTCTTTATCATACCTATCAAGTAATTTGTGAATTTCTTTTACCAAATCACAGAGAGAACTATTTGAATTATGAATCAATCTTTTTAAGCACACATTTATAAACTCGATTCGAGAAGTAGCTATTATTCCACCTATAAAATTGAATGCAGTATAACAATGTGCCCAAGATTTTTTTGATTTATAAAGAAATTTCAGATAATGTTTGGCATTAGGATAGTCTACTATAAGTTTGTTAAATTGCTGTTTAAACCTTTCTTCATTAAGACAATCACGACAATTAAAGAATTCTGTAAAGAACTTTTGATAATTTTTATCTAAAGTTTTTTAGGTTTTTATATTGGTTCTGGGTTATATAAAAGGCACAATAAATCAAATATGATGAATCAAAAACTTGTCGAATAGCCGCATCAATGGCTGAATCTGCATCTGTTAGTATTACTTTAGATCGAACCTTGGTTGCTTCAATAATCTTAAGGGTAGGGGGTACAAATTATAAATTATATATAAAACTCATAGTATTTATTTCTT